AATACACCAAAAATCCAAGATTTAAAGCAATATAATTGTGCGATTTCCCAATGGATCTAATAAAGTGGCAATTGAACTGAGTGGAGTGCAATTTTGGTCTGAAATCATATATTATGGTCTGAAATCATATACATTATAGTCACGTGATACTGGTCAGCGGATAGCTTGTTGTGACAGCTTAACAATAGCGTGGAAGCCCAAAATCAAAGATGTAGCTATGGTAATGGTGCTACTCTCTTGGTTTTCAAGGTATTAGCGTACGGACAATCACGTGACAACCAAAATTTTTCAGATCGATGGGTTACCAAGTTTTCTAAGGTATGGTGCTCCGCTCGCGCGCCTTCGGCGCGCAGGAACTCCGCTAAAAACCTCACAGACATGTCTTCACGAAATGTGTACGACTTTTCGTACGAACAGAAAGATGTAGTTTGGCTGCGTGTGGTGAACCCTCTTCTCTACGACAAAAACCAATACTGCTTTCTGCTGAATAAATCAAAGGAGGAAATGTGTAGTTTCACTTCTCTCGCCTAGATTTCTGTGCACAAAATGTGTAACATTACCCCACGCGCGACGAAAGTGTTTACATAGGAAAAGAGTTCAACTCCCACATGATTGCTCTGGTACACCAACATGTCCTCCCTTTCATTGTTTCGGTAGTGAAAATGCCCTGTACCTGTTACCCCAAAGCCAAGGCGATTCAAAGTCGTGTTCCTAAACAAAAAAATTGTCCTAGTTTTGGTAATAAAAGCACGTCGTCTCGCATACCAACGGAACAAGCATGATTGGTGTCGAGTTACACGGTCAGTGTAAAATATTCACTGGGGACTGCGGACTGCGGACTGCGGACTGCGGACTGCGGACTGCGGACTGCGGACTACGGACTGCGGACTGGGTACAAAACATGAACTTAGGTATAAAACGCGGACTAAACATTACGGACTGAGCATAAAACGGGGACTCAGGTATAAAATGGGGACTGCAGACTAAATGCGGTCTACCGACTGCAGTCCATGTATTTTACTGACCCGGTCGTACCTGATATTACATAATACATGTATAAACGAGAACAAACCCTCTCGTATGCACGTTCTTTGCAATCATTTAATTTATTTTCACCCCTGCTGAAGGGAGACCAATTTTACGCCTATCTAACAGCTCAGGCAAAACATGCTGTCCCTAGAATTTTTGTTTTTTTAACGTACCAAACCTACGAAAACTCGAACGCACTCTTTAATCTACGATTACTACTAGTTAAATAATTGTGTTTAGACAAAATGGAAAAGCATGTGTATTGAAAAGGACAATAATTTTGAGGCTATCAATCGCTTTTATCGTATCTGTCGTATTTCAGACGAATAACTTACCGTAAAATTGTAAGTCCTGGTCGAATTCAAATAAATCAAATAAGGGATTCTGTTACAGCGTTACGTTTCATAATTTTCTGTACAAACACAAGCAAACAAAGAAACATACAAAAGAACAAACAAACAAAAAAAAAAAACCCACAAAAACAAAAACAAAACAAAAGTACAGCCTCTGCTAGACTGCTTTAATCTCGGGCGAACGGGAGTCGCTTTAAGAGTATGCGTTAAAAAAAAGTGTACGGAGAAACCTCTTTAATGTGAGCGCAGTCAACCCTTGGAATTAGCCTCCGTCTTACTAAATGTGTTCTCTCTGAAATTCCAAAACTGTGACAGTGATAAAATAATCTTTCTGCTGGCTGGCTATATAAAATGCAAATTCAGTGGTCACAAGCATGGGACGAAGGAATGTTCCATGTTGTTATCCTCTTTTTTTTAGCATAGAACCAGGCAGTCATGAAGAATCTGAAGTGTTAAAAGCTCTCGCATTGACTCTTACACTGCCAAGATCAAAATATCAATCCTCCTTCCTGATTACTAAACTAACTTAAGTGATGGTTGAGAGAATTAGGTAGAACACGACAATAAACATAAAAGTGATCACTCTTTGAGAATAAAAAGACTTTAAAAGCACCAGTCATCGACATTTGACTTAACAAACACCAAGTTTATTTTTCCTGGATCACTACGATCAAAAGTCTACGGGAAACAGTTAAGCTGACTTAAACTTCATCGTGCCGTGATTTAAAGTGTTCTCATCACTTGCACCATAAACCTACAAAACAGAATTCATCACCAAGTAGTCACATATTTCACAATAGTAATCAGATTACCAAACAAAAAAATAATTGAAGAATACATCGGGACAGATCCTCGACATTCTTTTACTGTTTTTCTGAAGCCTACATTACTCAAAACTGGTCAACTAATTGATTAACTGCAACGTTTCACGTTCCGTTATAATTTCCTTTAAGAAACTTTCTATTAAAAATTGAAGGCGGTATTAAAAAGGTTTTACACCGATAGTCTCGTCATATATGCTACAATATATTGAATATTTTCATAAAATCTTCCAAAGTAGGAAAAAATTATTTTATAACGTTGTGGCCCTGAAATAAACTTTTTGTACAAAGTTGGAGGCTCGAACTCTTCACTGTTATCCCTAACTTGAACATCTGTATTACATTAGTTCTGATACGCTTTATGAAACCTAAAAACATACTAGCCTGATTTTTAGACGTCGCCTTCTGTCACACACTAAAATAATGCAAACATTGTTG